ATTTCGGATTTATATCTTCAATGATGCATTCTTAGACATTTATTGTATGTTTTTTATGTTTAGATCATAGTTTCGTTCGCTAATGTGAGTATTGACCAACACTCAACTATAAAACGAACGAAAAATATAATAGTTGCCAATTTGAAGAACAATATGCGATCAATGTAACCCTCAAAATAAATCCTCTACTGAAGGGTTAACAAATTTCGTGACTAGCTGTATCAAATGACAATCTGACGGGTCACTTGACTTGTATTCTGGATTAATGGAGAGCTAAGAGGCGTTAATTTGCCAAATGTGATTGTTAGCTGAGAGCCAGAAGGACATTAAAACCAGCAAGACCAACACTAGACAGTATCCAGACTGAACAAAATATTAGGCATACATGAACTCCAATTGCCCAGAGTCGTTCGGGTTAGAGTCGGTGTGGAGTTGGTTTGGCATTGTGACGGGTGTATACAAGCAACACTGAACAGATGCACCTTCTGCCCTAACGTAGTGTTTGTTGCACAGCGCCATATCATGGTCAACTTGCCAACAGTGCGAAACCCAGTCCCTGTAATGTCTGCATCGTTGATATAGGACTCGATGCAACAACCAGCAGCGCAGCGAGTCACGGGACTATACTGCTACTGCTACGAGATGGCGCTAGATGGGATGCTGCTAGTATAGTTTGGCTTGAAAGGATAACGTCCTTTTGAGTTTTGGTAGGCTATACATGTGGATCATTACAAATATTGGACAAATCTCAAATTGTCTTGGTTCTCTCTCTTTCCCTCTCAATTTTTCTCTAAAAGACAATGGTATTGCTGTTTATATATTTATGTTGCTGCATTTCATTAATTTTAAATTGTTACAAGTTTTATGATATGTCATTACTACCTTTTATCTTGGGTTTGTGTGTGTGTGTGTGTGTGTGTGTGTGGGGGGGGGGGGGTTGCATAGGAACGACAATTATGTCAGTATTTGACATATTTTCCACCGGGAATGGTGCATACCTTCGTCTGTTTTTGTTAAATTTATAACAGTTACAAGAAATGAAAACTATTTAAATCTTATTTGGTGAAATTTAACTAACACGATGGCTTTATGATAATTATTGAGAGCATAGAAAAAAACAACTGTAATACATGAACGTACTGAAGTTTCTTGTCAATTGCAGGTCAATGATGAGGAAGACATCTTCTGCTTCTTCAGATCCAGGAGGGTGTCTAAAACATGAAAATGTACTTTTATAAAAAGTACATGCATTATTCATAAATACATACAATTAAGAACTAAGATATTCATAACCCTTGTAAGGCGACGCGTCAAAAATAAATATACCAGCCAGCGGCAGCTAACTGCACTTGTGGGTCCTGGCTGCATTTTTTAAATTAGCTCAGCCGGCTACCGCTGGCGGTAGGAAATGGCATTCAAAAGCATGCGCCGACTGCCGCCTTTCGAATGGAAACCGAGCCTCAGATCCCAGCCTGGCGCAAGCCGGCTGGGCTAATAAGTGAAAAGTAATTGCCCCAGCCAGGCTTCGGCCGTAATTGCAGCCTCGATGCGCCAATACGTGAGGCGGCAGCCTGCTGGTATCGATATTTTTGACGCCTCGCCTAAATCATATTTTTGTTTTCGTTAAATATTAATAAAAAAGGGCTGATTTGATTAGCGCCTTTCTTGAATACTTTTAGATGTAGCTTTAATATGTCAAGAAATATAAATTAATTCTAAACATTCTCAAGAAAGATTCAAATCAACTGCTTAAATCCTCGTACTTAAACCGTTACACAACTTAGTAATGCAGGGTTTAGGGTGTGATAATAATGTAATTGTTAACTGTACATGTATATGATAATGTGCATGTATATTCATCAACATATCTTAAATAAATAGTAATGAATAGTATGCTGAGAGCAAGAAAGTTGTTTAATCTTATACTTTGACATACATGTAGATTGTAGGGTTAATATTTTTCCTGCTCCAACTATACATGAATCAGGAAATTATGTTGCCTTTAATCATTTCCTTCCGTATGTTGGACTTCTACATGAATGTTCCTTCTCGAAAGTTATTTGCAATTCTGCACATGTATGTTAAAATCAAGAATGTCTTTGTACGAAGGACTGTCAATTTGTGGAAGTTCCTAACTTTTTCTATGGATCATTTTTATTGTCAGCATTCATTCTTTCATGACCGTTTAAGGTCGTGTACTGAGCCATGTTAACACGAAATACGCTAAACCACCTAACAAAACAAATCTGACATGAGAAAAGGGTTAATGTGTCCCAAATAGTATATTAATTTATTTCATCAAACAAATGTATCTTGATATGACCACTAACTAATGTCTGTTCTGAAATTTCTAACATTGATTATGGGTCATATGATGCACTTTCTCTGTTTTGAATAAAATGTACATGGACAAAAGACAAAAGTCATAACAGTACAATACCTCAATATAAAGATTTGATTTGAATTTATTTCCAACTGATGCAAAATATCTGATAATACGATGTCTTACCTCATATTGGAATAATTACATTTGCAATACAATCGAAATGCCAAGCAGCTTGTTTATAAATATCCAATGCATTTTAATATTTCTTAATTAATACGGAGAATACATGGTAATAATAAAGAACATAATTGCAAAAAGAGTAGCAAAATGTTGTTACTGGCACAATATACGGAGGCTTTAAGGCAATAATTAATTGCACACACACATGTTGGGAACCGGCAACCTTAACGAATTAACCCTTATGACGTCATACTTTGGTACTGTATGCTACAGCTATTTTCATGAATGTGTTATATGAGTGGTCTACGAATAGATACCAAAACATTATTTCAGCATGTTACTTTTTATTCATCTACCACAGACCAAAAATTACAAATAAACCAAATAACAAGAGATAAACTCATACAATAATACATTTGCTATTGTAATAAAATAAAAGAAGAATACTCCTCTCCCGAACAAAAACAACAACATTAAACAGAAAAAAAACAAAAACTACATTTTAACTAGCAAAGGAGAGTAATAGTTGCCAGTAGTAGTATGTGTACTGGCATACCAACACATACAGTGATCTCCATACCGTGAGTAAGATGAAGGAAAAGAACAAACACTTAAACTTATGTTACTGTAATAACATAGCCATCAACCTAGACAACACAGTTTAACGTATCTTATATAATAATTAACAATCAAATAAGTAACATCTTACTATTGCTGTGAATTATGCTGTTATGCACATGTATTGAGCATACTTGTAATGTGAATAATTTCTTGATACATGCTGATATCATACCATTACTATACAATACATTGTAAGCCATCATCATAATCATCGTAATCTTCATCCTCATTACCTTGCATCAATGTTATATCATGTGTGTAATATTTGTTTGATAGCTACATGTATGTACCAACATGCCTCAGAGCAAATACAAAAATCCACCATTTAAATTTTACAAGTAATCAGTATAATCTACATGTGATGATTGTGAGCAATGACAAACTGTATAGCTTACACGTATTTTAATTATTGTATCTGTTATATTAAGATACATATCAAAGAATGATATTTCCCATAGCTAAATTATAAAAACAACAATATCAAAATGTACATATACTTTATATTATGCTGATATGTATGTATCATGAGCGTTTGAGTAATGTACATACTTTCTTGATAGATAATGAAACTTCACCCTATTTCATTGTTATATTATTTAACCTAACATATACATCAACATATCTCATAACAAACTAAAAGTTAACCAAATCTAATGTTGCAGAAACTTAGTATTATGCAGCTATTTACATGGTGTATGTGTTATAGATAGCAGGACTGCTACTTTTTTATATAATTTTTTATAGCATCGCTTCTATAAAACTGCAGACAAAGATTAAGATATATCGTAGGAAACCGATATTAACAACAAATTTCAATCTCACAAATACTGGGTAATATGTCGCTATGTACATGTTGTAAACTTGTAACATAAATGATTTCGTATGAAATAACAAGACTTTGTAGCCCATTTGATTATTGTATTAATCATTCTAATATAAATATACAGTGCGTCCCAGAAAAAACGAAACCGAGAAGTATCGATGTTTTATCATAACTTAATCACAACCATAATTAATGAATGATACATATTTGGAAAGCTTAGAGTTTCCTCTTTCATGTGATGCTACTCAGATGATGCATATTTCACGCATAAGTGATTAAAAGCAATTTGAAGGAAGGAAACCAAAAAGACATTTGGCGGGCGGTATCTGAATTTCGAAGAAAAATTCACATTTCTAGAAAGTTGAGTTTCTGCCCTTTCATATGACACCTCAATCAGGAAAAATGAGAGAGGAATAACAAAGTTCTGTTTGTTTAAAGTAGCCCTTACATTTTCATAATTTTAACAAACGAATTCGTTTTCACTGGGTGCCTGCCGTAGCAAAAAGCAGATTTGACAAAAGACTTAACTCCGTTTCGTTGACAATCAGCCATGCATGAAGACTCTCGTCTACGAATAAGTATAAGTCTATAAATGCAAGAAAATGAAATATGATGAAATACACATGAAAAAACAATCTTGAAAGAAAAAGAATAAGCTATAAAAAGTGTGTAATAAACGAGAAATGTATATTGACCATCAATTTAAGTGCACAAAGTGCTAATTTGAATGATACAAATGAATTCGAATGCTAGAAGTACACCATCGCGTTGTCAGAAAATCGTGTTGCGCCAAATCGAATGACCAAATTACGAAAGAAGCACATTGTTCATTAATTTGAATGAAACACACGTAGATTTTAACGAGAATTCCATAGATTTGAAAACTAGAAAAGGGAATATTAACCCGAGATAATACTGACTGCACTAAAACCGTCGAATTTGAACGCAAGACAAATTAATTTCAATGACAAACTCGCGAATATGGCAGGGAAATCCTATATTATAAAATTGTTTTTATGCTTGAGAAAAATTGATAATAAACTGAGCTGAACTGAACTGAACTGAACTGTTGTTTGCGATAACAAAGTGATTTGAAACGATTCATAATCTAGGCATCTGTTATACAACACATATTGAGATTTAAATGTTTTTGTTTGGATTCTACACTTTTTTAGCCATATCATATGTTTATGTAGATCGGCGTGTTTTATGATGTAGTGAACATGGACAATTGTTAACGAATGGGATTCGATTTATAGGGTAAATCTGTTTTTGAATACGAGAATGTTGTCTGCATCGCTAGCAATCAGTTTCCCTGATGACGTCATCATCACCCGAGAATGTTTAAAGTATCTCTTCCTATTATCCAGTTTAGTTGATAGGGGGAATGATGCTACCCTTCTCTTCTTCATATCACTCCCGCTCATCACCTGATCAATCATACACGTCTTGTACTCTTCATCTGATGTCACGACGTAGAGGTCGTCTGTCATAGGATCGATGCAGGCATTCTGGATGACACCACTGTGGGGGATTTCCCTTTGAGCACCCTGTCTGTCGATGATGTACAATTTGTGATCGGGTGGTGAGGGTCGAGCGATGATGTGTCCTGATGATAGTACACCACGCAATATTATATTATCTTTACATGCGATGGTATTTATGATATTACCATCAGCTGGGTTGATGACGTAAATCTTAGACTGCACCCACTCAGCAGCAATGATCATCCCATCCTGGTCAACAGCTACATCCACCCTTGTTTTATCAAACGTTGTGTTTTTGGGTATTGTGACGTCATTGATGTGCTTCCATTGTCTGTCGTACACACTGATGCATTCAGTCAAACTGTTCTCTGTACAACCCTCGCTGTATTTACCGCATACTATTTTGTCATCATTCAGCAATGCACAGGAGAGAATCAATGATGTACCCCTACCAGTTATCACTCTCCGACTGTTTTTAGTGTTTATATCTAACATGTATGTATGTCGGCTACCACTTAATCTATCTGTGATGATCACATTGCATTCATCCAGGTATCCTACAACGGCTGGGAATTTGATTTTATCATTGATTGTATCAATGAGCTTCCATTCCCCATCATACCCATCTATCCTCCCATCATACTTCTCTCTCCCAGCACCCTTCACAAACCTCACACCCAAAATGGTATCAGTGACTTGTTTCACCTCACCCTTATTCAGTGGCTTCTTGAGTTCACCTCTCACTGAAATCTTCACATGATGCCCGTCTTTGACGACATTTTCATCATTTTCGAGTACTGTATCAAGTTTCTGTATTGTAGTCTCTGTGGTTTTTGTTTTATCCTGCCATGCTTTCTCCAACTCACTAATCTTTCTTTCTTTCTCTTCAGCTATGTTCTTAATGTCAGTTTGCAAATCCTGTTGTTTATTGTCGATTGGCTCTCGTCTTTTCTCTGCATATGAACGGTTTAATTCAATTCGCTTCTCTCTCTCCTCATCGTTCTTTCGAATCTTTTCATTGATTTGTTGAATCTCCTCGCGAAGATTTTGATTCTTCTCATCAATCTCCTGGTTGATTTTAGCAAGATCCTCCTTCTCTTTGTCTTTGTCTGTTTGGACCGCCTCATTGATTACCGAATCTACTTCATCTTTCAAAGCTTGTAAATAGGTGTTGGTGTCTTTCCTACACTGATGAATATGATCTCCATAAACTCGACAAAGCTCCAATTTTTCCTTTGCTTTTTCTTTCAGAATGTTTATTTTTGCTCTACTATCCATGATGGCGCCCTCTATATCCTGTCGTACGCAAGACGGGTCATGATGATCTATCATTGCGCATAATTGACACACTGCTACATTATGGGTTGTACAATACAGTTTGATTTCTTCACCATCATGCTTCTCACAATAAAGATTGGGCCTACCCTTTCTAGCTTTTCCGATGCATTCCTCTGTGGAGGCGCAGTCATCGCAGAGCTTCTTCTTCTCCTTCACGTAGTATGTCACATCTGTGACTGATTGACAATTCTCTCTTTCACAGATGTCTTCTGTAGAGCTGAAGTTCGCCGCCATCCTGATCTGAGTATTGAACTGTGGTAGGAAGGACGAAGGAGGGACAGAAAGAAGGCAAAAGGAAGGGAGAGAGAAAAGGAGGGGGAAGGAAGCATGAGAGAAGAAGAGAAGAATTTAGGAGTGATGGGTGAGTCACGTAGGGAGGAAGAAAAAGAGGGTGAGAAAAAGTGAGAACGAAACGGATTAGAAGAGCTTATTGAAGGAGAGGGTCGAAGGGAGTGACCGAGAGAGAGAGAGAGAGAGAGGAACAGATTGAAAAACATTTAATGCAATGACCTCCATAAGTAATATATCCTCATGCACGTAACACAAAACACTGTTATTAAATGGTAATGTATTTCCTTCATGGAAATTGTTTTGACATTGATACACAAAGGTCATATACCGTTTGCAGTAGCGTACGCAGGTTTTTTTTTCAAGGGGGGGGGGGGGGGGTTAACAGGTCACTTTTTGGGGGGGGGGGGGGTTCCAACAAAAATCGCAACGACTCAGCCAACAGCTGAATGAGCGGGGGTCAGCCGTTGGCATAATTATTATTATTACTTTTTTTGTTTGTACTAAATATAAAAAAAACGAAAAAACAAAGGGGGGGGGGGCTCCAAAATACACACAAAAATGAAGAAGGGTTGGGGGCGGGGGGGGGGGGGGGGGGTTAACCCTCAACCCTCCCTGCGTACGCGCCTGACCGTTTGTAACAATCTAATAATCAAACACTTCCATGGTCTTGAAAATTTGAGATGGGCATCTTCACCAACAATAAGTAACCTCCATATTACGAATGCACTAAGAGCAAATAATAGGTATATTGAATTTATAGTTTTTTTTTTTTAAATGTTTATAATTTATATTATACACGCGTTGCTCCAAAGAAATTGTACTTTCGACAGGCTTTTTAGTGATTAGAAAAAAATGGGATTAATAATTTACTAATAGTATTCGCATACATTATTTACAATTACAAAAACTGATGATCGATGTAAATCAAAGTTGACATGTTGATCTTGTTTTTTCTATAGGTTTTGGATCATTTGAACACTTCTACAGCAGTGTTCTTGATGATACGTAATAGGGTCAGGTGGCCAAAAAATATAGGGGCGATGTATGCGGCGCTATATAACTGAGCCCTGACTAGGTATTTTTGAATTAATATTATGACATATTTTATAAATAACGTTAACTACCTGATAATAATAATAATAATAATATGTTAGTCCACTCCAATTTGTATTAATTAAACCTAAATGAAAATTCGTTTTGTCCAATTGATCGTGAGCCCGGCAGCCACTGAGCAGCGTCAGATCGACGTTGCTCTACCCCTTATTGTTGAATGCCAAACGAGGTAGCAGCAACTCCCATTTGTTAACGTCTTCTGGTATGACGCGGCCAGGGATCGAACCCACGACCCTCCCGGTTGTGAGGCGGACGCTCTACTGACTGAGCCAACACTCCGGTACTTCAACACATCATACAATGAAGCATTACATTAAAACTTATTAAAAACATCTTGTCAAATATAGCATTACTCATAAAGTGTATTGTCAATATCATACTCGCAGTCTTATCGACAAGTTTTACGTTGTCTAACGTTGAGGAAATTTATGAAGAAAAAAAACATAGACAATTATCCACAACGTTGTAGGTGAAAATACGTATGAACCTTTTCCTACTCTTTATGATGTAAATGACCAGTTTTGGAAACGCCCCTCTCCAAAAAATGAAGTGGAAGCTCTTATTACCAATCATGTGAAAGAATATATTTTGACTAATACGTGATCATACAAGTTTGCCTGAAAACCGCCTACTAATTGATATATTTGGTTAATTGTTATATGTATTCGGACTGGATAGATATAGGGTAGTCTAATATACAACTTTATGGCCCGAATTCACAAAGGAGGTTTGTCGACAAACCTCCTTTTGTTTCGACAAACCTCCTTTTGTTATTTACAAACCAGGTTTGTAAACAAACGCGTCAAAACGCGTCATATGACGTACATAAACCTTGGTTTGTCGACAAACTTCCTTTGTGAATTCGGGCCAATGTGTAAAGTGCTTGCAACTTTACTAAGACTGGGCACAATTTCTTATCATTTTGATGATTCCAGAACCTTGCAGGACTCACCATTACTCATATGCTAGATTATCACCCTTTTCTGATCGATTCTACAACGTTTCTTTCAAAATACCATTACATGGCCAGAACTCGTTTTCCACCATGTGACACGATAGCTAATAAGGTACACACATTTGATTTAATGACCCTTTTCAGTTGAAGAAAGTGATTTTGGAGTGTACGGAAGGAAATTAATGTCTCAGATTGATGTATATATTTGTTAGTGATCATGTTTATTGACTCTCTTATCTTTAGCCCAATCTTGGTACCTCTCCGTGTCAGTTCTGACTTTCTTGTTAGTGATATAGAGGGCGAGGGAATGATGGTTATTTCTAGGTATATTATACATCAGTGTAATTAACTTTGGCTTTTTAACTATCATCATATTTTGTAAGTCCGGGCCTTGTATTTATTTCTTGTAATTATGTATTTTCTTGAATATTACTGTAACGCCATTGGAAATTAAATTTCTATGTAACTTGTTTGCAAAGACCAAATAAAATATCTTGTATCTTGTATCTTGTATTCTGAAAAGTATGTTGTAGTCCATGTTCGGGAATTTTGTAAAAATGGAAGATTAAATAGTCTTGACATGTATCTTTGGTACTTGCACTCCCTGCACAGATGACTGTATTTTATACATGAATCTAGTCGAGTCTGTTTTGTGCAAACATTAAACATTATTATATCCGAATCGACAGTGAACTGATAACAAAATGAGGTTACGTAAAAAGTAAATGTAAATGTTAATTTATATTAAAGTGTACTTAAAATCAAACTGTTGGGACAATATTATCGCGCAATATATCAGTTTAAGGCTTACAATAATAAGTTAATTGCGCAAAATCTCTATGAGCAGAGCTGAATCATCTGAACCCTTCATTTGCTTTGAGCTTCTTGTGGCATATATTTGAGTAGCATGTGCCTCCAGTGCTGATATGTAAGTATTAATTAACAAAATCAAATATAACCTAAATTACAAAAGTTTTACAAAATAACGCACGTATGTACGATCTATATATACACGCTGACTATCGTATATAAATGTTCATGTTTTCTCCCTAACCCCTGGTTATTAGCCATTCCATACACCTGCTATACATATTGGCATCTCTATGACTGGAATCTACTTTGCATATACCTTAGTGGTCGCTATGTACCAGTTGTAGTGTAGTTGTAGAAAAATGATGCTAAAATGTATAGATAACATTAGTATGCAGGTCTTATTGTTCTCATGAAATCTTATATTGCAGGTTCTATAATAAACTTTGAGAATGATAAACTTACTCTTTGAGAAACGTATTGTTGCACAGGAATGAGCTCTGTAAAGTCCACAGCACAGCAATATTCATATCTATATTTCAATATGTACCCAACGTCACAGGAATATCATTAGCGAAGTATATCAACATTTCAACATGCATAAGTGACAAAGGCTATTACAGCTCAGGGGAAATGAGCGATCGCGCAACTTTTTTTAAAGGAAGTTTAACAAGGCCTATTTTTGTTCGACGAGTTTTTAAAGCAGACTTCACACAAATTATCACGTACTGGAATGACTTGTTGCTTCCGGAAAGTTGATATGATCTTTTGGCATTGAATCCGGTTGAAAAATGTTGGTCATGCGGTTGAATATGAGAAGAAAGAAATGTGTTCTGTACTATGTATCACATTGAATAAAAAGACTTAATGTGTCATGTCTTGGTTGGTGCATGCTAGCCATTGAATGATGAAATTATAAGAGGAACTCAAAGTCTATATGAGAAATGTATTTATATGCCATATTATCCCATCGAGGATAGTGTGTGACAATAGATCTTTACGGAGCTTTAAAGGCATCGTTTAACAATATTTAATCTGAGATGCACGTCCCTACGTGTTATCAGTGTCTGTTATATAGTGCAATATTGAAGCCCCTGACAAAAGTTGCGCTTCCAAGTGTTCCAATCGCCAGATGTTATTTTGTTTTGTATCTTATACATTGTATATGGTAATATTATATTTAATAAATAGGCTTAAAATATTACTTCTGAAAAGAGATTTTGTAAGATAATTTGTTAAAGGTTGATTGTGTACATTCTAGCTGTTTACAAATTATTTCATTAGGTGATTGATGCACTCACCCTTTCGAGACAGCCCTACCACAATTTGTGGTTTGGCTCGATAACTTTTGATTCAATTCCCTAAAAAAAAGCCAGAAGGGTCGAAAACTTCTGCCAACACCATTTATATGTTAATTTTATGAATATGTCAAGAATAAAACAAAATATTAAAAAATCGTTAAATTGGCAATACCTTGAGAAATTCAAAATCATTGTTTAAAGATTAAGATTGGCCTTTTTTCCCTTGAAATTTTCAACATGATTCTCAACCGTGTATATGTTTACATGGGACATTTCATTTATGTTAACAGTTAAAAAACAAAACGAAAAGTATAATAGTTGCCAATTTGAAGACAAATATGTGATCAGATGCTGCTGATTGTAAGTATCGGCTTGCATGGTGATGTAGATGTTTAGTAGGCTTGCGGGTGCACCACCAATTGTGCACCTGCATGCCTACTGTATAATATGTCATCAATGTAACCCTCAAAATAAATCGTGACTGTATCAAATTACAATCTGAGGGGTCACGTGACTTGTATTCTGGATTAATGGAGAGCTAAGAGGCGTTAATGTGCCAAATGTGAGTGTTAGCTGAGAGCCAGAAGGACATTAAAACAAGCAAGACCAACACTAGACAGTATCCAGACTGAACAAAATATTAGGCATACATGAACTCCAATTGCCCGGAACCGTTCGGGTTAGAGTCGGTGTGGAGTTGGTTTGGCATTGCGACGGGTGTATACAAGCAACACTGAACAGATGAAGCTCCTGCCCTAATGTACTGTTTATTG